TCTCTCTCTCTCTCTCTCTCTCTCTCTCTCTCTCTCTGTGTGTGTGTGTGTGTGTGTGTGTGTGTGTGTGTGTGCGTGTGTGTGTGTGTGTGTGTCTGTGTGTCTGTGTATCTGTGTGTCTGTGTGTCTGTGCAGCAAAAACCACCCAAAGTGAGCCATGCCCGATCACATAGAAGAAGACTGAAAAAACTTCTCACCTAAAACGGCGAGACAGGATTCTATATCTAACGACCGGAGAGGCTACCGCCCTCCCGATCAGGTTACGTGTAGGTATGATGCGGCAATCAGACGCCGCCCGTCAGTCTCCCTCACGTTCTACTCCGCCATACAAGACCGACAAGGAGTACCCGCCAAAGCGGGCCGAGGTCAACCATAGCCTGAATCTCGTCAAAGCTCCCTGAAACGTCATCCCACCGAGCGCCCTCGGACTCCTGAAGAACCCCTACGTCGTTTCAGCCAGGTCGTCGGATAGGTCTGGCATCAGGAGCCAGCGTTAGCATAGCGCTGCTCCACCGCGATAACCCGCCGCCTGCCGCCACTTCAGGTTATATGTGTGAGCATGTGCCATTTGGCAATACGAATGCCTGGCTCCAATGCGGTCTCATTCGCGCTCTAAGATCCTGAACCTGGCACTGTGTACGACCGGGTTCATGCCTTCCTAGCACAGACATATCCCCCGTGGGAACGCCCCTCAGAAAAAGTAAAATGTCCCAACGAACAAATGAACTGTTGAAGATTAGACCACGCGTTCAAATCCGCATGGAAAGAGATGAAGCAGTAGTGTTTGGCACTACGCCCTTAGGGACAAAGAATAAAATAAAACAAAATATTTTGTCCTGCGCCTGCCAACACGTGCTAAATTTGTAGTGTTTTTATTCTTTTATTTTTTATACTAATTAAGTTATTTTATAGTAGTTTATATGCGTTCGTTTTTTATTTTTTTGGGGGGGCGGGGGGCTGGGGGGGGGGGGGGGGGGTAGTAGTTTATATGCGTTCGTTTTTTATTTTTTTGGGGGGGGGGGGGGGGGGGGGGGGGGGGGGGGGGGGGGGTACGTTGGACCCAGTCTATGTACTATGCACTCGGATGCGTATAATTGCAGAACCTTGGGACGGCAAATTTTCTAGGAACTTTTTTTCTTGGGGGGGGGCTGGGGTGCGCGCAGGGGGGAGGTACAGGGGATACAGCCAAGCGCGAGGGTTCAAACGACTATTTGGAAGAAGCCACCATTCTCCATTTATCTTAGGGCGCATACTCAGACTAGCGACTTTTTTTAAGGTTTTTTTTCTAGGGACTTTTTTTTTTCTTTTCTTTTGGACAGGAACATCTTGCGTTGGCTCTTGATTTTCTGGACTTTTTGGACTCGTCTCTGGACGTGATTGCGGTCAGATGCATCCAGGTTGGGCCGTAATTGCAGTCGGATATATTAAGAAAAGTGCTCGTGTGAGCATGCCCGTAGACACACCCAGAAGCATAAGTAACTCTCAATTTTCCACCAGCTGTGTGAGCACACCTGACCGAAGAAGACACTTTCTTTCTTACCAGTGACAGCTGTTAGAAACATTTAGAAAGCGCTAGTGTGAGTATTCCCTTAGAGCTTCCAAACGCATCACACGTCACCGGAAAAAAAAAAAAAAGGGGAGCTTGGTGCATCCAACCGAAAGCTGACGAATTGAAAACTGACAAATTTCGTGGACATAAACAAACATGCAGCCAATGCTTTGTTCTCCCTCAGGAATCACTCAACGACCAGTTACTATGTTCTTGTGCACTCTTCAGGAGGAGAGAGAAAAACAGGGAGGAAGAGAGAGAGAGAGAGAGAGAGAGAGAGAGAGAGAGCAGGACACAGTTCTCCGTAAGAAATCTCTCCACGACCAGTTGCTATGTTCTTGTGCTCTCTTTGGGAGGACGGAGAGAGAGAGAGAGAGAGAGAGAGAGAGAGAGAGAGAGAGAGAGAGAGAGAGA